CGTACCACAGAAAATTCGTGCACGTAGGTGAAACGTGCGGCGGGGGCTGCTTCGTTAAAGGTCACTTTCTATTGCCAGCAGGTGGCGCTATGACTGTGGGTGAATGTCGGCATGTACATGTGTTCAGGGCGGACTCTCATCCTAGATGTACAGTTTGGTCCAGATGTGAGCATGTACACTGAAGTTACAACAACTTCCTGTTTCATGCGAATCATCGACGCCACGGACACGCCCATTGACGAAAACGCGCAAATAGCACAACTTTTCATCGTCAATGCCTTTAGAAGGCACAGCAGAAATTTGACGTCGATCCGACTAAATCCCTAGGAGGAGTTCGTTAAAGTACGAAGTGTGTAAATCATCCAAAAATGGCCGTAAAATTCAAAATGGCCGACTTCCTGTTGACTTTAGGCTATGGGTTCTTGAGGCTTTTTTGTGCGTCTTGATACGATACATGTCCCCAGAAAATTTCGTACATGTAGGTTGAACGTGAACGAGGGGCTAATCATTTCCAATTTTCTAGGTGGCGCTAGCGAGTCATTTTGCCACGCCCATGTGCGAAACTTGTAGAATACGAAATTTTTCACCGGTTCTGACATGTTTGCAAATTTTGGTGAGTTTTCGAGTATGTTTAGGCCATGTCATTTGGGCCTACTTTGCAGAAAAAAAAAAAAAAAAAAAAAAAATTAAAGCTGCAAGCAGCGTTGGGCGGGCCCTCGCACTTATAAGCGCGTCCGCGTGTGAGCCGGCCGAGTTGCACATTCTGGAGCTCTGCCGGTGCGGCTGTGAATTTCCTACGCGGTTATGTCGCCGCATGAAGGTTCTATATGTCACTTCCTGTGTCCCCTATGTGGAGCTACATAGCACTTGCCGCTATGAATATAAATCGGTATTGACGTGTAGATGTCTGGGGGTCAGAGAGTTATCAAGCACGCAAAGTTTGGTTCAGATGTGAGCATGTACACTGAACAATAATGTACCCAAACAATAAAATAAATTCCTTTTATATTTCCCTGCCTTGTTGTTTATGTGTACATACAGAGGAATAATGTGATAACAGCACACATTTCATCGTTACTGTGTGCTGTACCGCAGTTCTGTGTCCATGCATTCAGCAAACTGAAAGCACTGTCTGTCGGAGCGTCTACGTGAAAAGAGAAGGAAGACATGGCTGGTAGTGTCTTCAGAGTTGTTAAACACCTCAGCGCACTGAAGGAAGCCATCTGACTGTGTGAGGGGCAAGATCGTTGATGTCTGCAGGCAGAGTAGGCCTAGAGCTCTCCTGTCTGACTGGTCCACCAATAGCAGAGAAGATGACCCCTTGAGACACAGCCCCTCCTCATTTGCATAATGAGTCAGAAATGCATACAGAAATTTAAAAAGACAGGCAGAAATAAATACCATGGGTGAAAATAAATAAGGTAAAAAATACAAAGGAAGAATAAAACAGACAAAAATATTAAAACACACACATAAATAAATACATTAAAAAAATTAGTAATAAATAAAGTTGAAGATTATAAGGGAGAATAAAAATAAGGTAATTATAACAAAGGTGAATAAGTAAAGGCACTAATTAAATATATACATTTATGTCTCCTTGTATAATTTAATTAATACCAACATTTATTTATTTACTTTATTTTTTTGTGTATTTAATTGGAAGCTTATTTATTTATTGAGCATTTATTTATTTCTGTATTTATTTCTGACTGTGTCAGGATCGGTCCTCCATAACGGGGTGGGAGAGTTATCAAGCACGTAAAGTTTGGTTCAGATGTGAGCATGTACACTGAAGTTACAACAACTTCCTGTGTCATGGCGAAGACTTGATCTTGACGCCACGCCACGGACACACCCATTGACGAAAACTCGCAAATAGCACAACTTTTCATCTTCAATGCCTTTAGAAGGCACAGCACAAATTTGAAGTCGGTCGGACTAAATCCCTAGGAGGAGTTCGTTAAAGTACGAAGTGTGTAAATCATCCAAAATTTGACGTAAAATTCAAAATGGCCGACTTCCTGTTGATTTTAGGCATCGCTCCAAAGGCTTTTTTGTGCGTCTGGACAAGATACACGTACCACAGAAAATTCGTGCACGTAGGTGAAACGTGCGGCGGGGGCTGCTTCGTTAAAAGTCACTTCCTGTTGCCAGCAGGTGGCGCTATGACTGTGTGAATGTCAGCATGTACATGTGTTCAGGGCGGGACTCTCATCCTACATGTACAGTTTGGTCCAGATGTGAGCATGTACACTGAAGTTACGACAACTTCCGTGTCATGGCGAAGAGCTGATCTTTGACGCCACGCCACGGACACGCCCATTGACGAAAACTTGCAAATAGCACAACTTTTCATCTTCAATGCCTTTAGAAGGCACAGCAAAATTTGAGGTCGGTCGGACTAAATCCCTAGGAGGAGTTCGTTAAAGTACGAAGTGTGTAAATCATCCAAAATTTGACGTAAAATTCAAAATGGCCGACTTCCTGTTGGGTTTAGGCTATGGCTCCAAAGACTTTTTTGTGCGTCTGGACAAGATACACGTACCACAGAAAATTCGTGCACGTAGGTGAAACGTGCGGTGGGGGCTGCTTCGTTAAAGGTCACTTTCTGTTGCCAGCAGGTGGCGCTATGACTGTGGGTGAATGTCGGCATGTACATGTGTTCAGGGCGGGACTCTCATCCTAGATGTACAGTTTGGTCCAGATGTGAGCATGTACACTGAAGTTACAACAACTTCCTGTTTCATTGCGAATCATCGACGCCACGGACACGCCCATTGACGAAAACGCGCAAATAGCACAACTTTTCATCGTCAATGCCTTTAGAAGGCACAGCAGAAATTTGACGTCGATCCGACTAAATCCCTAGGAGGAGTTAGTTAAAGTACGAAGTGTGTAAATCATCCAAAAATGGCCGTAAAATTCAAAATGGCCGACTTCCTGTTGACTTTAGGCTATGGGTTCTTGAGGCTTTTTTGTGCGTCTTGATATGATACATGTCCCCAGAAAATTTCGTACATGTAGGTTGAACGTGAACGAGGGGCTAATTTTTTCCAATTTTCTAGGTGGCGCTAGCGAGTCATTTTGCAACGCCCATGTGCGAAACTTGTAGAATACGAAATTTTTCACCGGTTCTGACACGTTTGCAAATTTTGGTGAGTTTTCGAGAATGTTTAGGCCATGTCAGTTGAGCCTACTTTGCAGAAAAAAAAAAAAAAAAAAAATAAAAAAAAATAAAAAATAATCCGAGCAAATTCAATAGGGACCTCACACGGTCGTGCTCGGGCCCTAAAAAATCCGAGCAATTTCAATAGGGACCTCGCACGGTCGTGCTCGGGCCCTAAATATATATATATATATAATCCGAGCAAATTCAATAGGGACCTCGCACGGTCGTGCTCGGGCCCTAATTATTTATCATACTGGGTCGGACTTGATGAATTTAGCGCGAGGATATACGTCCGTTTTTTAAAATAAGATTTCGATACAGTATGGAAATAAGATGAATTGAATTATATTCACAGAAAGTATAAAACATATTACATGTGTACATTAAAAGTAATAAAAAAAAACAACAGCAATAAAATGTTGTGAAAATTACTTGTACAACACTTGTACAAATGTACAAAATTTCTTCCGGGGGGCATGCCCCCCATTACCCCCCAAGACTGTCCAAGGTCCACCCACCATAGTCTCTTAAAATCCTGTGGGAAACACTGCTGTTCATCGATCAGTTTTCTTACTGCAGTAATGTAGCGCACAGTAAGTATTTCAGAGCACCTGAACCTGACAGCTGCCTTAATGTCCACAGAGTCACTGTGTTATAAAGAAGTCCCGTGTAGCTTATAGATTTTATTCTGTGCTGAGGATAAATCCACGATGTCTGGAGATTGTCTGTATCATCGATGACAAATTGAGCATAAAAGCGGTCATGTTCAAGATCATGTTTGGGTAAAAAAAAAAAAATAGCTTATCTAGCTGGGATATCAATGTTTCTAAAGACGTAACTGCGTTCAGCTATGTGCTTTGATATCGACAGTATGACTGAGGAAATGTCAGACAGCCGACATACAGAGGGCGCTGTTTAACTGGTATTGCATTGTGTTGCATGTAAAGAGTGGCCGAGCAGTAAAGCGCTCTTGAGAATGGCAGTCTGCATTAGTGATGTGCGATACCACTTAATTCCTATCCGATCCGATACCAAGTATACCAAGGATAGCCTCTTGAGATACATGATCTCATTTTCAAGAGGGTCCTATAATCATTGGGCTCGGGCCTTTTGCTTGTTTGCTTTGCTTTACCCCTGTCTGTCTTACACTTCCACTGCCTAGGCATGCTAGAAAAAAGCTGAAAAGTGCAAAAAAACATTCAGAATCATCATAAGGGGATGGTTATAACATTTATAAACTGTTACAACCATTTGGAAGAATCAGAATCAGAAGGAGCTTTATTGCCAAGTAGTGTTATACATACAAGGAATTTGCTTTGGTGACAAGGTGCTACAAGCAGACAAACATACAGTTGACATAAATAAATGTAGGAATATATAAATATGGAATAGACAATGCAAGTTATAATACAACTATTTGCAGAGAAAGAACAACATCGCAGATATTTACTTGTGCGTTATTCTGGGGTTGTGTTAAATATATAAATTGACAATATAAAAATACACAACAACAAAGATTAACAATTAACAAACGTGCAATGTGCCAGGTTTGTGCATGATATGAAATTAAATTTACAAGTGCAGAGACATTTGTATGATTTGAAAGGGGGGAGTGTATGGAAGATTTTATTGGACTTCAATATTTGTAACCCACAGAAAACAATCCACAAATGTGTACTATGATGCGCAAATATTTCACTATCTACAAATATATTTTTACATTTGTGATGTGTAAAATCATATCCACAAAAATACAGAGTGACTTCTACACACAGAACAGTTTTTGCACATTTGCAGATTGCTTTCTGTCAATTTGTGGGTCATGTTACATTTGTAACTTCCTTTTTACACATTTGTGGAATTTTGTCCAATGTGTACTGCGGAGATCTGTAAAAAAAAATATACACAAATATCTCATTACCCAAAACATGTATTTTCACATTTGTGAAGCTCACGTTGGAGAGAAATATTGCCCGTAGCGGTGTGCGGAGTTCCCTACCGCGAAGACGCACGAGCGACCCAGCTCGTTTTCCTCTCCTGAACAACAGCGAGAGAGCCCTTCACCAAAATGTCCAATAATTCCACTGATGACCTGAGAAAAGTGGGAACTATATCCGCTGGAGTTGTTCTCCTGATGTTCATAAGCTCTTCTCTGGTAAAAGAGCACGGGGAATCACAGCTGAAAACTAAATTAACACACAAAAACAAAACAAAACAAAGCACCTAACACAGAGGCCGCTATACTCAGTGCCATTTCCCCACAACAACCAGCCATTACATAGCTAGCTGTTTAAGGTCTGTGAGTTTGAAGCTAGCATGAATGCAAAGCATCAAATTAAATTCAAGAACGGCTACTTCAGGTGATATAAGTTGCAACAATGCAATAAAATGAATGCTAGGCAAAAAAAATAATCTTGATTAAAAAAAATACTTTCTTACCTGAAAATCAGATTTTTGCTTTTAAAATTCACAGTGCTGCTAACAGAGACATGTCACTTCTCATGTGAGCTTGAAAATTAAATTGGCGTCTACGATATTGATGACATCACCGCAGTTGTTTTCCGATATACTGAAAATGTTACAGCTAACCCAGTGTTACACCACTCCCCGGTCTCCCCTATTAGCTCTGGAAAAGATGTTTTGCTGACAGTATAGTGAACCAATGAACTGTATACATGGTGAGCATTAAAGATAATTTTTGAATTAAAAAACAATAGAAAGAAAAACATCTTAACTAGATTTTCTGTATGTTTTGTATCTTTAAACCACAACTTAGATCTCCCTCAGAAGTTGTCTTCATGGAATGGAATTAGGTATGTATGTGTGTGTAGGGGTGGGGGTGGGGGGTACTTGGACTCGTGACCTCACTGACCTATCTCTTTACCATATGTGGTATCATCCCTGGCAGTTAATGATATCACTATCGTTCTATTCATTGGAAGTGTGGCATTTTGAGTCATAAAATCCAGCTCTGCGCGTTCTGCGCCAGTGAGCAAGGTGCAAACAAATCAATATTTCCACAGAGGGGAGAATATTACTGCTCATATTGACAGTGACGACACCACCAAGAGCCAATTCACATTTCACAATAACGACCTGCAGCTCAAACATAAGTCATTTTGAAAAACTGCACCAGGGAGCTGAAAGTGCTAATGGCAGCTGTTTAAATTCAGAAAAATGTACAGTACACTACCGCTCTCAATGAAAGGAGCAGAATTGATCGATGGCTCCATTCATTCACTTTCCCAACCGCCCCCATTTCATCAAAATGGCGTGACCTATGGCTGCTGCCCAACTGGTGGAGCACAGAGGGTTCCCCGCCACAGAGGATATAAATACATGGAGAGCGAGCAATTACCTAGAAGCATTTACCCTCTCGTCGTCTCTTTGGACACCAGGCTCAAAAGATCTCTGACACCATGAAAGTAAGTACAATTCACAAAAACATTTTGGTTTCATTCAGTTGGAAAATCTGCATATGAAGCGTTTGTTTTCCTTTTTCCAGCATAGTTTCACCTCTTTATAGGGGTACTATACAGACAAATTTGCAATGTAGAAAAGTGAATACAGTTTTCATCTGGATGCATTAATGAAAATTAGAAGATAAAAACATTACAGTAAATTACTTTCTAGAATTCTGCAATTCTTAAAGGTAGCCGAAGATTTTATGTCATTTTATGCATCAATTGCTGATGCAAAACATGTTTTTACATACAGGTCTGTATCTACAGATATAGCCATAATATGCTATTTAGCACAAAAGTATCAAAGTTATGAATTCATTTTAGGTTGTAAAATAAGTAAACAAGTGCGTATTGCGTTAATCAGAACACGTCAGATTGAGTGTTTCTCTGAGAAGGATGTAGCTGTGAGAAATGGGAATTAAAGAGTTTGTTCGTATTTCCTATATCCCTCAGGGTTTGAGGACCATCACATTAACTTATGTACTCACCCTTTTACTACTGGCGTCCTTTATTGCACAGTCGTGGAGTGCACCGAAGGTAAAGCTGCTTTATTTCTCTTCTCTGAAAATGAAGTGAATGAATTGTTAGCTAACAGGGCAGGATTACAAAGCCTAAGCATAAAATGTACAGCTCTTAGATGAAGCAAAATCATTTTCTTTGTTTCTTCATTAAAGGGCTCTTTCCAACGGAGAAACTGGACCCCGCAGGCTATGTTGTACCTCAAGGGCACTCGTATGTATTTAATTACTGACTAGATACAACATTATATAATATGTAAAATAATCATATGAATAAATACACAATATATAGTCTAATATAATCATAACATTTTATTTAAAAAGGAAGTTTGTTTTATTCCATGCCAGTCATAATGTGAAGATAAACAAGGCAGAATTTAAATGTGAAATACTGCTACAGACTGCTGTAACTGAATAAAAACAGCTCTTTATTGTGAAAGGAATGGTTTATACTGGGTATATTACAAATTGTGTGTAGATTCATTCATATTGAATGACTAATGTATATTTCATTTCTTATCTGTTTCTTTCTGGGGGGTCCAGAGGGACGCAGGTTCATCTCAGAAGACCGAAAAGAAGGAGATGTCTATGACACATTACACTTAGGTACAACAAACATTACTAAGCAAAATTGTTATGTAGTTTAAACACACATTGTTAAGCATCTTTCTATAGTAATATGAAAAATGGTAAGGGAATAATAATAAATAATAGTAGTAATAATAATAATAATAGTAATAATTCCTAAAACAGTCTTGGAATTGGAATCACCTATGAAGTGGACAGATAATCCGTGTTTGGTGTTTGTTCCTTGTCAGAGACCCGCAGTCAGAACACAGAGAAACTGAGCGTGGATCAGGCTGCCACTGTCCTGCTCAATTTCCTGCAGCAGACCAGAGAGGGAGGTGAGGGCAGCAGCTGGACCAGATATGCAGGTTATATTTAAGGGCTGAGGTTTGGCTTCAGAAACACGGTTAAACTAAAGTTTTAAAATAGATTATGATCAAAATGGTTAATGCATTTTTCTTAATTATATGTGTTTTTCAATCAGACGATTAGGGAAGAAGTCAACACTCTCTCCTGCACTGAGGATGTCCCAGATGTGCATATCACAGTTATATCAACTCAGAGCTCAGAGAATTATTATTGTTCACAGAGATTTTAGTGAGTTAATCAAACTGGAATTGTAAAAGTTGGGGGACAAAGACAGGATTTTAAAAATGTAAACCTGTGTGGAGCTTTGGTCTCCCCATCTGGCAGTGAGAGTAACTACACATACAGTCGATGCATGTTCATGATGTACTCAGCCCAGGCTTATGTTAAGAAATACTCACAAAAACACAGGTGATGAAACATTTCCACAGTTCCAAGACAATAATCTGTTATTTAGGTAGAGTAAATGTGAAAGCTACATAGTCTACTCCCAATATGTTCATCTTCCGCTACATGCCCTCCTCTTCTCTCAGGACTCTCCAGTGAGGAAAAACTGTCATCACTCTCTTTTTTTGGCTGTAATCCTTCCTCTGAATGCAGAGTTCATATTTTATCTGGACCATCAGAAACTTCAAAATCAGAAACACTGACACCATAGGCTATGATAGTTGCTGTAGCTACTCCGGTTGCTCTAGAGCCATGTAGAGTTGGTATGACTGCATACAATAAATGTTACCAAAGAATATTAACACAAACTATGCAATCATCTTTCCAATGGAATGGATTTTTTTTACAGCATGGCGGATCATGGAGTTCTCTACATGGCTCTGGGTTGCTCCCCACTTCAGCTTTGGAAAACCATCATTAATCAGCATTGTGTAAACTCATTTGACGAGGGCATGAACGTAACGGACATTCACATTTATGTTTTTCCAGCTTTAAAATGTCATTGAAATTACTCCCTTGGTCATACTGGATAACTACTGGATACTATTCTGCATGTTCATTGCAACATGACTGTCTGCAATTAATTTAAATTAGTTTAATGGTTTTAAACACAAAGACCTCTTACCACCCTCTCTCAGCACCTGCTTGAGAAAGCTTTAAGACATACTTTCAACAGGCAAAAGTAGTACAGGATTACCACACTCGCACTGACCTCAGATTTAAGAATCTTTCTAATATTTTCAATGCTTTTATTGATGGCATAGGCAACAAAAGACATACATTATCATAAGATGGGGTGTTTTTTTCTACAAGACATAGCGGTCGAGACTTAAATTCTATAATTTAATGTTACTTTTCTCTTTCTCTCATCTAGCCGATGAAAACCCAAATGACGTGTATTTCCAGGAGCTGCCAGTGTGGAAGAGAGAATATTTCTGATTTTTGAATACAAGGTGTTCGGTTCTTTGTGAGGGAGAAGAACAGCTGTTTTGTAAATATGAATTCTCTGACTACGTTTGAAATGTGATGTTTTAATAAAAAGAGTATGTATTCATAGCACTATTAGTCTGGGTTGTCCACGTTTTTTTTTTTTTAATTCCTTCAAAAAAATGTTGAGGAAATGTTTCTACTGATATTATCACAAAGTGTCTGATAAACAGATATTATTTATTATGCCATATCAAGTATACAAATAAACATTTTGTGACATGACCAATGGGAAACTTGCTGAATTTCTGTCTTTCGGCATCAAATATTTGTCTTATTTATGTCAACATTTTAGGTGCATACACACTTTTTGGGCATTTTCTCTAAGAAAGATTGTCTGGTTTGAGAAATTACAGGATAGAATGTACATACATCCAACTGGCTTTTCTGTGAATGTTTCTGTTTTGAATCAAAATATGTAATTCACGTGAAGATCCGAAGCAGTTTTTTGTTTTTTTGTGGGTTAGGTGTCGCTGCTGAATGAATGAGCGCCACTACTAAAATTTTACACAATCATTAATGAGCATGATAACACTCAATGCTTAGTTAGCTTCCTCTTCTCATTCTTCAAAGGACATCTATGTGACAGGTGCTGTTAGAGAGCGTAAGTTAGGTCTTTTAAGGAATAGGGCTGTGTGTACTGTGTGTGTGAGTGAGCGTCTGGCAGAAAGTAAATGTACAGTGTAGGTCACAGTGTGTCAGTTAATAAAAGTCTGTCTGTTGTTTCCAATCTTCTGGAAAAGTGAAGCCCGTTAGCACTAGCAAACATTTCCCCTGGGCTTCAGACTCTGGTCTGGAAGCTGAGCGGGAAAGTTAACAGCATGTTTTTTGGCTCCTATGTAACGTTACGTAATGTAGTTTGCATGTATGAATGTAAAGGAAAACTAGTTATATGTATAAATAACTCTGGCCATATAGGCCAATGTTGTTACAGGAAAATTATATTTGTAAATATTAACGTTATGAAAGAAACCAAGAAGCAAATGAACAATTAAAACAGGCACACATGATTAGAACTTGTTAGTGCATTTTTTTTCATTATTATTAGGGCAGATATTAAGGCAGACAAGACACGCCTAGAATTATTGGATTGTATAACTGCTTAGCAAGTGAAATCTCTTGTTGTGTATAACCTGACTAAGAGGAAGCACATATACTGAAAACAACATGGGGCCTAGCCATCACAATTAAACTGAGCTAAAGAACAGGAGTCCAGGTTTTGTGATGGGCCAGGGCTAGTATATTCTAAACCAGCGCTATCAAGGCCATTTAACACTTTCAGGACATTTTGGTTTTGTCTTAAATCCACAGATTTTAAAGAAATCCTGGTTCCAGATGTTCTGGATTTAAAGCTTTAATTTGACCTGGCATCAGCAGAAAAAGGAGTACAATAGGTGATGACATTGGATATGTGGCAGTTGTGAGGAAGCCTGATCTGTATTTTTGGTCAGATGGTGATTATTCTGTGCACGCCTTGCACTGTATGAGTGGATAAACACATCATGGTAAACATCAGTTTCCTGACTCTCCTGGTTACTTCTTCTTGCCCTCCGGCACAGCACCCATCACAAGGGGAGCCTGGATGTTCAGCCGGTCCCTCTCAGCCTCTTCGTCTTCATCATAGGGCTCATCATCATTATCCTCTACATCACTGTGGTGGGGGGTGGAGTGGAGGGAGGCAGAGGGAGAGGGGGGCACCGAGTAGGGCCGAGGATAACGGAAACCCTCTGTCTGTGGAAACAAAGGAATCTAGTTATTTCAAATTACGTTTCAATCATACTGCAGTTTCATTTCATTCATATAAAAAGCTGGCAGTTACTTTAAACTTGGTGCAAATAGATTTTCCATCGCAATCAGCTGCTTTCTGGATTGTGTTGAAGTCCTAAGATGGTGCGTTCACGTGCTGGTAAGAAGCTGCAAAATCAGAGATCTAATACTTGCACTCCACTCTTATTAACTTTTGCTTTTCTTCTCATTTTCCCCTTTTGCCTCCTTTCCTCTTGATTCATCCCTTCTATTTCCCTCTTTGTTCCCTTCTCTCCCTTTTTTTCCTTTCTTGCATTTCATTTTATCCCTTACCCCCTCTTTCTTGCCTTTGTGCTTTTTTCCATCTATCCTTCCTTTCATTCTTCTTTCCTACTTAGAAGGAAGGGAAATAAGAGGGGGAGTCTTATTTTATGTAACACTACAGAGATCGGCACCAGCTCCACTCCACAATGATATCTTGTCATTCATCCAAATGTTAGCTGTCAATTAAAGACTGACAAATGTGACTAAAATCCACCAGCATTCACTGTGTGTGTCAGTCAGTCCATGAGAGGGATTCTCATGTACAAGCATGTGCAGTAGAGGAACACTGCTACTAAAAATGTGTTAATGTGTCAAATTTAAAGCCCTGGTTCTTGGCAATAATAAATTAGATTTGTTGTATGGTTTTTAATGATACAATGACAATTAAGGTTATTGTATTCTATTCTAAATCATTATTATTAATGGTTACTTTTTTAAATTTAAATTAATGCCAAATCAACAACTTTCAATATTCTAATATGAAATAAGATCAATAATTAGATGCTATTTGTAACTCTAAATATCCTTCAGTACAGTCAGTTGTAGATGTTTTGTTTCATTTTCAAGTTCAATCATTCATTCACAAACTCATTTTCATGCACAGTATCCTCACCTTCAGAGGGGCCATGGGGTCCATCTTGAACTTGTCAGGGAGAGCTCTGCTAAGTGCAAGATGGCGGGCGTGTATGTAGAACTGCAAATCACAAGTCAGCAGAGATGTACATCAACAACTAAACAACATTTGACTTGCTAAGTTTTGCCTTTGTTTTGAGATTTGAGGTTTTTAGAAAGTGTCAGGATTATATTACAAACTACAACATGAAAGAAGAGATGTTTTAGAGGCAGGAGGGAATACACTAAAGAAGACTTCCTGTTTCTGTCCAAAAATTTACATCCACTTGACTACAGCTCAGTTTCAAACCTAATGTGCATCTCAATTCTAGTCTAAAATGAGCACTACTTTCAAACTGTATGGAAACTGTTGTAGTGATTATTATTATGATTCCTATCACGTGAATTGTGTGTGCAGACATGAATACTGTTTTCTGCCTGATAGAGATCATTTTGTATTCTCTCTTCTATCAAACAGTTATTTGGTGCTGGTGCAGCAGAAACAGACCCTTCCCAGGTATCTCCAGTCCAACAGGTCAGACAGCCTCTCAGTTCGTGTCCGTTGGATGATGCGCTGGCGCCGAGACTGCTGGCAGAAATTGAACATGAATTGGGTCAGCTGGTTACAGGACTCCTCAGCTGAATGGAACCGCCGATCCACAATGTAAATACCTGATAGGAACAGTGAGAGACAAGAGGGGATAATGTAATTCCTCAAAATGAAATGACTGTTAAAGCTTTGGGATGAGGCAGCAATAATAAAAGACATGATGTCTTTGTGTATGCGTGTGTGTGTCCACACCATAGGCAGCAGGGTCTGAGACATGTTCCTCCATGAAGCAGCCGAAACCTGATAGGTTGGTGGTCACACTGGGTATGCCCATTACAGTACATTCACCTGGTGAAGTACAACACAGTTGTCAAAAAATCAATCAATCAAAAAATATAAAACCAAAGCTATTCGACACTGCCAGGGCATTACCTTTTTTAAAACAAGTTACCATCAGAGTCCAGAGCCACGAATGTTTTGTACGCGATGCGCAGCACAAATCATTGGGAGAGACTCGCTGATTGTGAGTTTCAAGAATCTATTACTGTTTACTAAATAGGACATCAACAGGAGGGAATTCACTTGGCAGAGCATCCGCGTAAGTTATTTTAAACAGGCTACAGCTGTGTAGCGCCGTTGCCATGGTTACTATCCATAGAGCGCCTGCCTTTTACTCGCAGAGCGCTGTCTTATCAACAGAGCAAAGAGCAAGCGACTACGTCCACTTTGCTGTGACATTTGATCGCTTGTCTTGCTTTTGTTTATCTACTTCTCCCACACGCTGCATCCAGCGTAGTCTGCTGAAGCCTCCCTCTGCTGCTTGTTTGGGTGGATGATTTGCAGGCTGATCAACAACCTGTGGTTTGACTGGATGTGTATTCAGAGCCAGTGAGCAACAGACTTTCAAAATAATGATAATAAAAACGGTGTTAACGTGTGAAAAAATAATTGCCGGCGTTAATTAATGCGTTAACGTGATAATAACATGTCAAAGTGACCAGCCCTAATTTTTACATGTGTGATTTTACTAATTACATCAAATAGTGTGCTGATTTATGGAGACAGCAGCTCAACTGTTAGAATACCAAAAGAGACTGATATAAGCTGCCTTACTACAAAGTCTGAGTCAGTCTGCAGTGTCTAGTCTGAATCACCTTGTCGCACTCACCCCCATCCTAAGCTTTGAGAAACTGGTTCTTCAGCACATGAAGAACAACATCCCAGCCAGCCTGGACCCTCACCAGTTTGCTTTCAGAACCAACAGATCCACAGAGGATGTCATCTCCACTGCCCTCCACTCAGCCCTCACACACCTTGAGAAAAACAGCACCTACATCAGAATGCTGTTTGTGGATTTCAGCTCAGCATTCAACACAATCTCCCCATGAAACTGATCAGCAAACTCACCACTCTGGGTTTAAATACAACACTCTGCAACTGGATATTGGACTTCCTCACAAACAGACCCCAACAGACTCCAGTCAGTTTTGGATCAAAACCGGAGCACCCCTGGGCGGTGTGCTCCACCCCCTCCTGTTTACGCTGTACACCCACGACTGCATCCCCCGACATGGAGAGAACTCTGTTGTGAAGTTTGCGGATGACACCACCATCATCAGCCAGATTTCAAACAACGATGAGACACTGGGAGGAAATTGACAATCTTGTAGAGTGGTGCTCAGAGAACAAACTACTGCTCAACGTCAGCAAAACTAAGGAGCTGATCATTGACTTTAGAGAGAAGGAGATAAAGACACACACTCCTGCCTACACCAGTGGTGCTGAGTTGGAGCAGCTGAATAGTTTCAGGTTCCTGGGAATCAGCATCACAGAGAACCTGACATGGTCGTCTCACATCTCGACGCTGGTGAAGAAACCTCAGAAACGACTGTATTTCTTGAGGAAGCTTAAGAAGGCCAAATTCCCACACCAAGTTCTTGTCAGCTTTTACAGAGGAGCAATAGAAAGCATCCTGACTGGAAACATCACAAACTGGCCTTGGATGTGCACGGCCCAGGACCGGAGGGCTCTGCAGCGGGTGATTAAAACTGCACAGAAGAAAGCCCAAAGGATACTAAAGGACAGTACCCACCCACAGTATATTACAGGTGGACATAATACCATATGAACTAACTATAAGAACTTATAACATGTAATTGTTTGCTTTAAGTAAAGTGACACACATTTGGCGCAGGAAAACAACTTTTATTTATGTCTTTACTCTATGAACAATCTGTATGCATTTTGAACATTTTGCAGTTTAGCACAAAAACACAACATACTTACATCAAGGAAACTCAATCTCAGGGTGGTGAAAGATCGCTCAAGAGAAGACCTTGTAGCAGACCTCCAGAGGGGAGCAAGCCTTGTCTCTCTCTGGTGGGAGTGTTTTGTAGGAGGGAGTGTGTTGTGCCGTCTCACATGAGAGCTGGAACTCTCTTCTGGTATCAGCCAACTCCTCCTCCTTGTTTTCCTGCTGTAGCGGGGATTTGGTTACTCTGTCCCTATCCTCTAGCTGTCTTCGCATTTCTTGCATGCGTTTTTGGTCAGCTTCTCTAAGTTTGCTATAAACTTTGACTCGTAATTTTAGCTCTTTAATTTCCCCCACTGCTTGTCTAAGGAGGGTTTCTGATTGGTCAAGGGATTCAGTTGTGTCTTTAAGTTTGCTTTTAGTCCACTCTAACTCCTGTTCTTGCTGAAAGAGTGAGTGTTCAAGCTGGTTGGTCTTTTCCTGCAGCTCAATTTTCACCTCATCGACTCCACCCTCCTGTGGGAGGTGGCAAGGAGCCTGTAGGTCAGTGATGCGTTCTTCCGCTTCACTTAGACTGCCTGGTGCTTTCCAGCTGCTGTTCAAGCTGGTGCATGTGCTTAGACTGGGCAGACATTACAATAGCTAGTTTTCCTAGCATCTGGGACAAGGCTTTGTCCTTTGAGGAAGTGGCTAGAGCAGTTGTTACCAGCTCTGCAAAAATTGTTTCAAGGTTCACCGCACCGGTGCCTTGTATTTGGCTTGAGTAGCCAGGTATCAAGGTCTCGGTCATGTGGGCCAAGATGGAGTCAAAGTGTTCCAGTGGGTCGCCCCCACTGGCTGCCACTAAGCGTAGGTCTGCCATGTTCAAAGGCAGGTACTCAAGTGGTTTGGTTAAGGACTTTGGTGCGAGTCCAAATCAGACAACAAACAAGTGTGTCAACTCAGAGGATATACCTAAAAATACAAAAATAAATGGGTGTTGCTTCTATCGCTTCCTGGAGCTGTTGATGTTCCTTTAAGTTAATTTGGAAGGCTGGAATCTGAAGAAAAGAAGGATCAAAATCAAATCTATGGACTCAGTTATACAATTTGCGTTAACAAAATTAAAAGTGGACTACAGTTGTTAGCTGGTACAGCAGACCTGAGCCAGTCAGTTTCAGCTAGTGTTTACTAGTTGAGAAAAAGGAATGTCAGGATGGAGAAAGCTGACTTTCAAGTCAGACTTAAATGACCAAACTGAAAATTCAAATTTAGGATGAAAAGCAAATATAGGAAAAATTAAATTAAATCTCACTTGGGATTACTATAGATCAAATCAAAGTTCATGTTACAACTAGCTTGACAATCAAAGCTCAAAGTCCTTAATGATCAAAGTCAAAGTTGAAAAAAAAATTGTTTGAGAAAAATTAAATTTTAGAATCAAAGTTCAAAATTGGAAAAATTACAATTTGAGACTAAAACAATTAAATTTCTAAAATCAAAGGCAATGAGAATAAACTCAAAGTTCAAAGTTACATTAACAAAAACCCCAGGCTGATTAAAGTGGATAAAATAAAATTAAAATTCAAAGCTGATTAAACTGAAAGTCTTAATTACCCTTTGGTAATCATCAAGTTATCAAAATTCCAATTGCTGTAAAAGTCAGAGTCCAAATTACATTTATAATGAATAAGGATTAAAGAAAGCCTAGTTGGAAAGCTATCAATTCAACTTATCAAGCTTAATGTGGGTTTCGGAATTCCAATCAGTCCAAACAACAAAAGGTTAACAAAATTCAAATCAAGATGTTATTCTGTATTTATCTTATTCCTGCAAGGATCAAAAATAGCACTACAGAAAAGGCTTCAAAATGACAAAGTCAAAATCAGGGATATTGCAGCAGTAATGAGAATAAAGCTTTTTATTCAAATACAGCTGGATCAAAATTAATCTTTGAATAAAAGATTGCATCAAAATTAATAGAACTACTCAATGTAATCCAAGGTTAGGGTACGAAATTGGCTCAGTACCTTGTTACAAGCAAACACCCAATAGATCTTTAAAGGTTAGCAGTTATTCAAGGAAAAAGGAGAGCCTGTGCTCTATCCTACACTTAAGGAGTGACACTCCTTATTAATATTATTATACATTATTAATTTTATCCGAGAGTCACCACAATGCTTTATGTGTCTCAAGTTAACAAGATCTATCACCAAAGTCTGGTTTAATTCACTCGATTCAAACGCCCATCTCTGTCACTGATGACGCTGAAGTCGATTTAATGCAGAGCATGCAATTTATTCCGCCAGCCAGTAGGGGAGCTGTGGCTCCGCCTCGGGCGCGGCTTATTTCTCAATGTAGAAGAAGAAGCGGCTTCCTCTCTGGTCCTCGGACCCAACAGCTGTTAGCTTCAGGCTAACGCAGTTAGCAAACCGTTGTTGCAGCAACGGCAGTAAATCAGAACACTCAAGGACACCAGTCCCGCTCAAAAAGGGGGAAGGGCTCGCTCCTTTGTTTTAACGATTCAGCTTGCTTTCAAGCTTCGATTTAGCGTTAACTTAGCTCGGTAGGTACAACGCTACAGGCTAAACTCGGCGTCTTCACGCCTGTGACTCCACTGCCAGGCAGCTGTATTTGTTGAAGTAGGTCATTTCAACAGAATACCGGAGTTTTGCATATAACATAACAATCCACGGCTCAGCGCGTCAGACTGTTATTTATAGCCGCAAACAAATCACATTGGCACAGCGCAACTGTAATCTATCTGCCTCTTATTAGGCCTTAAAATTATCAATATCTGTTAAGTTTCTCTCAACCAAAAGGGAATTTCATCCGCTCGTCAGCGGAGATTGTATGTAGCTTTAGCTCAGATTTCTCATATGGTAACGTTACAGGAATGCATTCAGTTTAACATTAGCTTGGTCGGGCCCTCATACCTTAGCTCACTACAGCTCTGTACTGAACAACCATGGCGCGGTGGCCAAACAAGTTGCACAAAGCATTTCATTTCACAACAAAGAACATGGTCAAAACTCACACACACTTTCATCACTAACGTTAAGTTAAGAGGGAAGACAGGAGAGTTTCTAGGGAGCAATTTACTGGGCAAGAATTATTT